GTTGGGTTTCTCATATAATTTCCCATTCAAAGTTGTAGGACACTAGTGTCCTGAACTGTCATTTCGTGGTTTGTAGTTTAGAATTTACGACGATTTGTGACTTTGGTCTGGTTGGCAAAGTCAATATTGATAGTCTTATTTATCCCACTTATATATAGCCTGGTTGGAAAATTTCTTTATGACCTTAAATACACGGAAAAGGGTTTGAGGCCTTTATATAGGGTATATATTGTATGAATTACTTGGAATTTTGTTTTTCCATATTCCAAATTCACTGTTCCGTTCATATAAATCTATTGCGATTACAAATGAATATATGTGTGTAACCTGTAATATACGAATGAGTTGTATTGTAAAGAAAGGTATAAGCATACGTTTATACGTATGCATGAATGTGTGACAAAAATCACCCAAATGAGTCCGTAAGCACGTTTTTGTATACATTATGAGAGAGTGTTTAAGAAGATTGAGTAAGACCGAGATTTGCTGTTTTGACATTTAAACGAGTCGCTCGTTGTTGTATGTCTGTATGAGTGTGTGTTTCATAAATGTAAAGGTGCGTGATTTCGTCAACATTGGATATTTAAGGATTTACTGTATGAGAAAGATTAAGACGATTTTCATTAATTTTCAGGCAATACTTAATATTCTTTTCATCATCATCATGCTTCATCAGATATTTTAGGTTTGTTCACAAACATCCATACAAAATTTTCATAATTTCTATGCTACGAAATATATGTACGTGCGTATATTAAAGTTTACAATATGACGTTCGAAAATGAAAATTTCTTTCTGAGTTAAGCTTCTATATTTTTCTTCTAAAGAAAAGGAAAGAAGATTGGTGAATGGAATTGCTTCGTTTCCTCTAGGAAGCCTATTAATGTTTGAAAATGCGTAACAAATCTTCTAAATAATAAAAACACTTTTAGTTTTTTTTGTTATATATTACATTGAAAAATTCCTTAAATTTTAAATACAGGTCTTGTGGCCTTATTGGGTTTTACTTAAGGTTTTGTCATAACTACATATCTACGAAAATATTTCCTGTTTTGCTACATTACTATTTATTTCCATCCTAATGTCTGCTACGGGATAGCCTATATCTGACTACACTGCTACAATTATGTATGCAGAAGGAGAATATTTGAAAATATTAGAAAATCATAATTGAAAATGTTCGTTGATTGACAACATTTGAAAGTTTTGAGATGTGATTGCTGAATAGCTAATGTAAAATCATGATAAAACGAAAGCAGATTTTGATTATAATTTCCAATTCAGCAAAAAAGCACATCCTGCAAGTGAACAATTTTTAGATAATTGCAAAAATATAAAGTATTTTACTACACATATTGCAGAACTTTTCTTTTTATTAAATTGCTACTATTACTTAAAGTGTCCAATTTCAGATTTCAAGATTTTTATAAACAAATCTCTACCAAATATGTCCACTCTCTTTTCATTGCGATATTCATAAAATAAAATTAATGATATCCATCACATTAAATCTGTCATATAATACAATGACAATTAATTAAAAGATTTACATAATTATGAATAGAACGCACACACAAAAAATAATACTAATAAACGCACAAATTAATTCGAAGACAAAATTCATAGGAATAATCCAATGGGAGTTAGAGAAAATAATGATAATGAAATTAATTTGGTTTTAAATAACAGTCTCCCCAATTAATTATCATTTATTGTTTGCATTATTCAAAAGTTAGTGCCATTGTTTATGGATGTAAGATTAGATGTCATTTCGAAATTATTAATAAATTTTATTCTCTTTACACTTCATTTTAAGCAATAAAAGTAAATAGATTTTAATGATAATGAGCGAAATATAAGTTGGACATCAAATCAATAGGAATATGGTATGAAAAAATACTACTTGTTTGTTACATCCTCAGTTATAAGGCTAATCAGGGTAGATATATATATATATATATATATGTGTCGCATCAAAAAAATAGCGTTGAGAACCTCGGTTGATTTTTGACAAAATAAATTTCTAAAAATTTATAATCGATTAAGAAATTTAACCAGGTCTGTCAGTTGAAATCACGACGTATGGGATGACCATGGTATATATTTGTTCACATTTTGTAATACATTCAGATCGTTGGCTCTAATTTGATGTTTTGAGAAAACCAAAATAAATATGGTTTTCCAACTGTAGCACTGTTGGCTAGAGATCGAACTTTTGAATGTATGAAATAAATAAATATTATTTTATTCCGGACCCTGATTAAAATTATACAAACAAATTTTTAAATTAAAATTGTGTTACGTTTTCTAGACCAATGACCATAACAAATGTGAAATCAGATTGTGGAAATAAAACCAGTAAGGAAAGTAGTAAAGTCGGACGGGGCCGACTATATGATACATTTCACCATTTTGGGTATATTCAACATATGCATTCTACAGACGTCGCATTTTTTACGGACCATTAAAACGAAATTGGTTTAACTAAAATATTTGATCTTTACCATCCCATTCTGCAACCTATGCTAAATTTTTCATTTGAACAGATATAGAGTCGTTTGTTTACAATGGGACAAAATTATGTAAATCGATTTAAGGGGACCCCCCATTCTAGGGGTCAAAATTTTTGTTGATATAATTCCAATCTACACTGATTAAAGAATGTCTCTACAAAATTTCAAGTGAAAATCTCAAGAACTGTTGAAGATATATCCGATTTATTGTGTCAGCATCAAGAGACGGCTGAAGGGCTTCCCAAACTTTAAACGCGTTTTTCTCTAAACATTTTTTTTGCGAATGGCGGGCCGATAACTCAAAAACTAATAATCCAATCGGTTCCAAATTTTGCAACGTTTCTCTGGGAGTGTATATTCGTATGAACTAGGATAAAGCCAATCGGTGAAGATCTTCCTTATTTTTTAACTTGGTTTTTGGTAAAAAATCCGCGATTTTTCAAAGGGCCACCATTTTCTTAATTTTAGAGCGAAGTCAATAATCCTAGTTCATACGAGAGTCAGACATGTACTCTTTCTAACACCGTTGGAATTTTCGGATTCCGATGTTCCAGTGAGGAGTTATCATGCCCGCCATCAAAAATAAGGACTTTTCTTTAATTACAAAAAACAACAACAAAACAATAACAAAATTTTTTTGTAAATTATTTTTCTTCTCTTTTAAATCTTCAATTATATATGTGCAAAGTTACAAACCTTAACAAGCATTGGTATTGATTTACCAGCCCATTGAAAATCTTAAAAAATTCAAATCGAGAATGGGGGGGGGGGGGTTCCCTTAAAGCAAATCTTAATCGGACATCCGTTGATTATTTGGAACCTAATTAACATGACGTCGGTCGAAAATATATATGGGATATGCCTGCATTTCTACAAAACGCAATTACGTCATTCTATGCTCAATTTTGTACGTTGTGAAAAATGTCGTGTCAAACTGACAAACATGAGCAGTTTGGTTCACCAAATTAAAATCCCCAAAATACCAAATATTGGGTGGTACCGTTATATGGCGGCTACACCAAAACGAGGATCAATATATCCCATTTGCAATACCAAGCATTCTAGGAATATTAGCAATGTCAGTGCTCTGTTTTAAATATTGCGATCTCTATCGTGATTTCAACAGACTGGCAGATAGACACGCATAAAAAAGATATATATATATATATATATCGGTCCACTTCTTGCAGAAACATTTCCATTAAGGTGTTAAAATATCGAGGTATCGTAAGGTAAATAGAATTAGGAAACTGAAACATTTGCTTATTGTGATGTTACCGCTGATATTTCAAAACAACATGAAATGTATTTTTTTTATTTCAGAGAATGTTAAGGGACGGACATGCATGACTTACATTAATTCCGTTTTTTAAGCTTAAACCGATTTGATACTGCATAAAAAAACTTAATAATCCTTCCGGTACGATAAAAGAAAATCAACCGGGATTTGTTGTTTTTCACCATGCGTATCATCTTTTCATATTTCCTGTTACCTCCATCCAGACGAACATTTCCTTTCTAATTTGTAGTAAAAAGTGTTATTTAAATTTGATATTTAAATATCGTAAACCTTCTCCACCATACACCAAACCATAAAGACAATAAGTTTATTAAGTGAATACCAATTGAAGTGCTCTCATTATGTGAAAAATTCAAGCGAATAGAATTAGGAAAAAGTAAAGACACAAGTCATTCACTATTGAAAACTCATTGCTCGACATTGGAGCATTTCATTTTATACCATCAGTTGGATTGTGGCTTTGTGGAGTACTTAATAATAAGAATATTAAGGCGGAGGGTGTGGTATTCTCCCACTTAAGTGAAAACCCAATCCGCAGACCGCTTGGGTTCGCCACACACATTTTTCTTCTCACAAAATGTGTTGGAAAACGATTGCCACCCAAATCGCCTCCCCCTTTGGGGCTACAACAGCCGTTAGAAGGCAGTGGGGAATTGTGGTGATGGTGATGAACAATATAAAATTGACTTTGAATTTACATTTCCATAAAAGATGATTAGTTCGAATGGTAATGATGACATTAAGACGATTTGTGGCTGGGACAAAGTTAAAAAGTAGACAATGCCAGATTGAAAAGGAAGAACTTATAAACCTAAATAATACACAATAATATGAAGTAAATATTGCAGAGGGGGCACATTCTTCCTGCTTCTCGTTTCGGACTAAACACCACAAAGCTGGGGAGCAAACAAATAAAAATTGCGAACAGCAGCATTGTTGGAATTACTTTAAGGCTTATCGATTTAGATTAAAATCTCAATATCCCGCCAAGCGAAAACAAAAAAATATACTCGTACACAAAATAATTTCATTGTCCCCCAGTTTATTTCTCCGAAGCGGAAGATGGAAGAAAAAGGAAGAATATTTGTGCAAGATTTTCTTGTACCATTATGCCCTCTAAATCAATAATGACCATTGTGCTGAGTTGATGGATGTTCATTCTAATTTTTTTCTCTTTTTAATTGCAGTAAAAAATGGAACAATTTGAACAATTGTTGACGTGTTGCGTTTGCCTGGACCGGTATCGCATACCGAAGTTGCTGCCATGCCAACACTCCTTTTGCATGGAACCCTGTATGGAGGGTTTAGTGGATTATGTACGGCGACAGGTGAGTCCATAAATATATATATTTTTGTATGTATTTAAGTTAATAGTAGTAATTTGATATGTGAATGTGTTAATGTGTTGCTTTCCTGGAAATTTTTTATTACCTCAGGAAAGAGAAGGTGAAAATTACAGCCTTTGGTTCTGGAAATTTTCAAATTCCGAAAGTTGGGTGGTGCTGTAATATAATACCAACCATTTAAAGCTCTATTGTTAATATCTGTTAATTTGAATAGACAGATTGACATGACAAAATCGACATAGATGTGCTAGTTAGAAATTATCGCTGTAGTCGCATCTCCATTCGAAATGTTGAATCTTCTACCGACATGGTATGGTAGGATAATGGAACGTCCGTGGCATTTCCGCCTTACATTGTAGTCCGCATTCTGCCGAGTTTCAAGCATTATTTGATCAACATCTTAATGGTGAAGCCTAAATGCCAAACACCCCTCCGGGGTAGGCTCAGAAATTAATGCTAGAAGTAGAGATCTAGCTAATTACCCTGCAGACTGTCCAAATTTTCGTTGGCTCTTCACGATCTTTCATTGATAAGGTCTACGTGCGGATAAGAACGTCTCGATCGAGGAGATAACTTCATCAGTTGTTAGCCTGGAAACAGTCTTTAGGAATGCAACTGATAATTCTGTTCCTAAGCATAAAACCAAATGCGTGACCATAGGACATCTGCCGCTGCGAATATTAGGATTTATCAGAGAACGAAGAAGGATTTACAGGACTCTTAGAACATCGAGTGATCCCTCCAGATTCCCCACTTTGAGGTCTGATTTGAATAATATAATGGGATCGAATTATTAAGAACTCTATCAATGTTTTTGAGCAGGAACGCTTCCAAGGTCTCTAAGAGGGAATTAAAGTTGACAAGTAAAAGTGGCATCTGGCATGGCTACTGGAGAATCTGTTGGCAACTTTTTGGACTCGAATGGATGACCGATTTATGATGATAGTTTAAAAGCCGAATCTTTAGCAAATCAAATGGAAGGAACATTGAGCACAGTGTATGGGCCATCGGATCCTGTTTTCCGGAATTCAGTCCATCAATATGTTGATGATAGAACCCCTTTGGTATCTTTCCATGATTATTTCACGACTAATGGCTTAGTGGTTAATGATGAGCCATCTTGGCCTGATGCTGGTGTCATCCAGCCAGATAACATTAGTACTGCCCTAGCATCTAGACTGCTAAAAATCTAGCGCCATTAATCATATTCCTGGTATTGCTCTTAAGAAAGCGGGCTTCATTGTTTTTGCTCTTAGATGTTCGAGTGATACCTCCCGTTTCCTCATTTTGAGGGCTGATTTGAATAATATTAATCGAATTATTGAGGATTTATCAAAATTTTTGAGCAGAAACGCTTCCAAGGGTTCCTAGAGGGAATTAAAGTTGACATGCTTACTGGATTATGTTGGTAACTTGTTGGACTCGAAAGGAGATGGTACTTAAAGTGCAATGACAAATCAAATGAAAGCAATGTTGAGCCCAATTTATGGGCCATCTGGTCCTGTTTTCCGGAATACAGTCTATTAAGATGTTGATGACCTGAACCCCTTTGGTATATTTCCGTGATTATTTCACGGCTGATCATCTTGGGACTGACATTGGTACTGCATCCCGACCTGCAAAAAATCTAGCGGCATTGACTATAATCCTGGAATTCCTATTAAGAAGGCGGTCATCATTGTTTTTTGATTCCTTTCCATTTCCATGAAGTTTTTGAAATGGTTGGAACGAAGACGAGGAACCATCGACTTTAGTATTGATTTCACTACAGCGTTCGAAACATGGTATTCCCTACATTATAAAACGTTATGGCTTGAATAAATATACTTATGGTCTAATAGACAGCATTCTAAATGAGAAAAAATTCCAAATAAAGGTAGGAGATTCACTTTCTCGCGAAAGGCATGTAGGAATTGGGTCTCCTCAGGGTTCGCTGCTGGGCACCATCCTGTGCAATTTATTTATCAGCAACATGTCTGAAACTCCTGAAGGTGATCAGCAGATTATGTATGCCGACGATATTTAAAAATTTCACAAGAGGTCAAAATGACCGATTCTAGGCAATATAGGTATATCACATGTGAATACGGGGAATGAAACAGGGGGGAAAGCAGCTACTATGCTACTAGGCAAGCAGCTACTAGGAACATTAATAAACGTAGTTCTATGCGGTACAAAAAGTCACCAAATTTTAAAAAGCTGTATCATAATATACACAATTGTTTTTGTTCTTGAAATTTAAAAACTGTCAAAATTACCGCCTTCGGCAATCTAGTGTTAAAGCCACTCGTATCCCCAATAAATAGATGGAGGTTGAGAAATAACCCATTAGATCGGAACAGTGTTTGAAAACATTAACCTTATTGATTTCACTATATCACACTTTCATATTCAACTATATATATTTAAACTACATATACATTTTTCAAAAAGTTCTCTTCATAATTCCCACGCAGACATATAAATTTGAAAATAATATACATACGTATATACTCCCATTTTATTTTAAACGTTGACGAAATTTTAAAAAATAAAATACACACAATTTTGCGTCATTGCAGTTGTTGCTGTTTATCAGAGGGTATATCAACATCAAATAATAATAATAATGAATGAATATAGGATGTAAAATGATTTTTGAACAGACGCCCACAGATAGATTTAAACGAAAACACATTTCCTTATTATTGCTGGAAATGAGCAAACGATGCGAAATGTGCCAAGAAGTTATATAGAAAAAAAAAACAATAATTATATTTTGGCAACAAATAAAAAATTGAACGCTGTATTTAAGAAATGCCTATATACAAATTTATATTAAACAAATTCTTTGAATACAAAAGAATTTATTTTGAAAACATAGAAATTATTTAGAGATTCCGTACAAGTTCGTACTGTGGTTATGTAGAAAATTTAGTTGAATTTGTGATTACAATCGTAAGATTTTGCAATTTTCCGTTAAAATATGTATTAGGAACCTATTTATACCTTTCACCACACTGTAGTACAGTGTATTATTTTATCTGAATTTTTTGCCACATTTAAATAGAAAGGGAATTTGCATACCGTTTTGGAATTTCTAGATATAGACCACATATAAATGGCTTTTACAGATGCAGACAATAACTATTTTTCTTTTCTATTATTATAATTCAATTAGTATTTGAATCAAACAAAATAAATTTCCTACTTTCATCAATGAATAAAATTTTAAATTAATAACTCTAACGTGGATTTTAATCCGAATGGAAAATGGGTATAATGAGTTAAATCCACAAATGTATATGAATATTTCTTTATACTATTTCTCGATATCATTGAGTCATTAAAATGAATCAAAAATTCTATACAACCTTCATAGAATGCCACAGAAAATAATAATCTAATATTATTAAATCATTTTTGTTTTTAAATTGAATAAAATTTACGCTTTCAAAACACATTCATTTCAATTCTCTTTATTTTTCTTATTCAAGGTAAAATGTCCTGAATGTCGTGCAGAACATCGCATACCATACAATGGAGTCCAGGCATTTCCAACCAATGTTACTCTGCAGCGCTTCCTTGAGTTGCACATCGAGATAACTGGTGAATTACCAGATCCCACATCTGGTAAGTATATAACGAACGACAAGTATATGAAAAGTGATAAGCTAAAACAAACATTATCAATATCCTTTGGATGTTCATTTTTTCCCCTTGTTCTTGCAATGCCATGGTCCTTTGTTGCTTTGCTTCGGTGTTTGGTTGAAGCAATGGAATAGTAACCAAGCGAAGTGTTTGAAAATTTAATACAATGAAAACAATGTTGGGTGTTTGTGAGAGTATGGGTTGGTGTGTGTGCGTTCCTTCTCGAGAAGGATATGAGCGTGTTGTTTCTATATTTTGTTACTCTGCAAATAATGTCAAATAAGAAGAATTTAATCAAGAATGTGTTTGGAGAAAAGAAAATCTCATGTTTCTTTAAGCTTTGCTAATTAAATTTTGATCCTTGGGTAAATTTGCATTAGTAGTTGAAATATTTTTGGATTATTGCATTAGTTCTTGTTCAACAAATATGGGCATTAGAATTTTCTTGCCAATTATTATTGTCACATCTGTACCTGACGGAGAATAAATGTACGAAATTAAATTTATTTATTTTCCTACCAAAAGTGACATAGATTAAAATGTGAAAGAACATTTAAGATACCATTTGTAACAGTTCGCCTTGTTCTAATGGCTTTTACAGGTGTTTACAAATTACCATATATCATTTTCTCAATTTAAGCATTTGGCAAATGTATGTTGGTTAGATATGATAGATTAAATGAGAGGTTACCTGCGATTGCTTTATTTTGGGTAGTTATGTGAAATTCTGCTGATCGAAATTCCAGTAAGGATTATGTTTGTAGCTAAATGCCTCTGAAGGTAAATTTTTCATATTAACATACTGTTTGCAACCCTAGGTAATATACGTGGAGGGTTTTTTAATTAGCATAGAAATCGATTTAGCGTGGTCCATCTAACGGCTGAAATCACGGCAGAGTCTGCAATATTTATTTAGTGTTTATGTTCTATGGCCTATGACGTTTGGGTTTTAAAATTGTCAACGGATCCACCCACCTTTGGGTACTGTTCTCAATAAGTTATTCTCTCAAATTGGCTATTTTAAAGGGTCTTAACCAATTTCTGTAGTAATTACCGTTTTCCCCTCCAATAAATTCCTATACAGGGGCTGGGAGTCTGAAGCAGAAATCTTACTACAAATCTTAGATCATATCTTATCAAAGCGAATAAAAGGTCCCAAAGTATAAGTAGCAGTTCTTTAATATAAATCCAATAACAATTTTAAGCACTTTACCTATTAAACATAAGAGAATCCAATTAAGACGAATATTTTTTTGCTTACAGGTCAAATTATGGAAAGATGTGGTGTGTGTTCAGAGAAGTCGTATTTAAATCCCTGCGCTCATTGTGAAAAGAAAATCTGCGATGATTGTAAAAGTGCCCATATGGACATTTTGAGACGTGAAATAACACGTTTCAATTCACAGGTATGTCCTACCGAACTGAAATTATATAGCTTTCTATTTATCTCTAAAAATCTCTTCTATCTCTTCACAGATTCGTCGCAGTTTACATCGTCTGCAGGATTCGTTGTCGCTGATCGAAAAGAACATGATCAGCTTGCAGACTAACTGTGTCAGTACAACCGAAGAAATTGAAGACATTTACCGACGTGTCACCAAGGCCATAAAAGACCGTACTGATCAGTTGAAGGGTGAAATCGATCGCTATCTTACCATCGAGTTGAAAAATCTGAATACCCTCAAGGAGAATCTCGACAATGAAATTAACAATATTACCAGCAATTGTGACATTGTCGACAAGTACATGAACGACAGTGTTGAATGGGATGACTGTGAGCTAATGGACACCAAGGAGATATTCTTGAAAACTGTGGAATTCTTGCGTCACTTCGAATATGAAAATTCGGATTATAGTCGCCGTGTAAGATTCCTTGTATCGATGGATCCCAATCAATTGGTCATGAATTTGGCCACATTTGGTGATTTGAACATTGCCCCGCATTCGAATATGGGTAGTTCGACGAGCAGTTCGCATTTGGCCCCACCAACGGCACTACAACCTGGTTTAATGCGCTCAAAGAGTGATCACCGTTTGGCAACACAATTCCGCCAACAAGAGGAACGCATCGGTTACAACGATGAACCTGTCCTGGGTGGTCGTAGATTTGGTGAACGTCCCGTTCGCATCAATAACGATCGCTATGGTGACAGTGGTTCCAGTCGCTACGGACGTGGTGGTGCTGGCGGTGATTACGATTATGGTGGTGAAAACGACTACGAAAATGATCAGTCATCGAGCCGTACCGGAAAATCACGTTTCCGTTCACGGTTTGTGCGTTCGCATCAAAACGAGGATTCCGACAACGAACAACAGCAACAACAACGCCTAGAAGAGAAGAAACTGAAGGACAAGGTTCGTGACGGTGAAGATGTCTCTCGCGGTCAGTTGAGTGGCATTATACGCTTGAGTGATTGTGCCCGCGTTATTCAAAGATTGGCCGATATCGGCAAGGAGAAAAAGGAAAAGAAGGTGGACAATACCGCCCAGGCGAACATTCAAGCTGCAATTCAGGCCCAAAAGGCAGCTATGCAGAGGCCCAAACAAGCCGCAGTCGCTCCGCCGGCGAGGCAAGTGAGCGAAGACGATGAAATCAGTCGCATTAAGCAGCAAAACAAAAATGCGCCCAGTTCATCGACAGCAGCGGCAGCTGCTGCAGCAGCAGCTACAACACCGGCCCCGGCGCCAGAGAGACCAGCAGCCGATCGAGTGAGTGCATTAAAACGTAACAGTGTTGTCACAGCTACGGGTAACAGTGATGAAAGTGATAATTCACACAATTCATCGTCGCCGGTGAATAGGACTCCACCAAGGTCAGAGGTGAGTGTGAATGAAACAATTGAAGAAGATAGTAGTCGTAGTAGTACCAATAATAACAACAATAACGACGATGATGAAGAGGAGGAGGAAGAAGAAGAAGAAGAGGAGGAGGAGGAAGACGAAGATGATGATGATGAGGACGATGAAGAAGCGACAGTTGCATCTGTTAGAAATCAGGAACAAGTACAAACTAATGTAGCTAGTGAAATGGTTAATACTAATGAAAATAATGATACTGAGGACGAGGAGGAGGAAGAAGAAACAGAAGAAGAAGAGTCATCTGAAGAAGAAGAGGAGGAAGATAAAGAAGAAGAAACGAGTAAATCCGTAGAAGAAGATATTGTTGAAAACTTGGAAGAAAATGATGTAGGAAATTCTAGGGAAATTGTAACTTCCAAGGAAACAGAACCACAAGGCGGTAATAGTGTAGTGATCATCGAAACTCCAGCTTCCGATGATGAGTATACTTATACAGAAGAGGAAGAAGAAGTAACCGAAGAAGAAGAAACTGAGGAAGAAATTACCGAAGAAGAGGAAACAGATGACTGAGTTAGTTATAATAAATTATAGGAAATTTTCATATTTTGATTTGAATTTAAAATAGGAGAAATGACATACATAGATACAATTAAGTGGTAAATGCCTATTATTAATATAATATTATTAATAAAAATTGGGTTATGTTCAAATTGAAATTTGGAGGGCATTTTTTTAACCCTTTCAGTGTCAATAAAAATTTTTGTCGGAATAAAAATCTAAAATTTTGTATTTAAAATCATATAAAGGGATATAGTTTAGAAAAAATAGCAACTGTCATTTTAAACCTCGGCCTGTTTCGTCTGTCTTTCAGCAAAAATAAAAACATCAATAGTAACGGTACATAGGATAACCGAAAAATCGCAAAGAAAGAGAGTACTTTTAAATGCCGAATATATTCAACAAAAACACTGAAAGGGTTAAATAAAAAAATAAATAAAATAAAGAGGATTCACCATTGGTAAAGACTTCACCATTGGTAAAGACTTCACCATTGGTAAAGACTTCAATTTTCTGACGAAAGTATCTGTGAGAAACTTCTTAGTGCTTGCTTTCGGTTTTTTTTTTCATTACAACATAAAGTTCCTAATCAATAGCCATATCATAGTTGCAACATTTTGTGATATTACAACGATTACGTATTATCTTCGTTTGTCTTCCCCGAACAATAATAACAACACCAACAACAAAAACCAATCTACTACTTCTCCTTTCCTCTCCGAACTTCTTCATCGTTAAATGATCCCATTGAGCATTTGAGAAATAAACAAACGCAAATAAATAAATAAATAAATTGATATGATGAAAAGTCCAAATAATAATATTAAAAAAATGGTACCACTTAATTTCCTCTGGGATACATATGCGCACAAAATGTTGTACTTTTTTATCTTCTACTCTTATATATTTTTTGCTAACCTTTTTTTATTTTATTTGTATTGTGTCCTCTTCTTTGTTTCAATTCACCTCTAAAATCCTTTTACCTTGTTGATGTATGGAGTTAAGCCTATCTCTCTTTTTTTTCTTTTCGTTTAGTAGTGAACATCACTTTTTTGACTCTACCTTAATTTTCTATTTAATTCAATTTTGATTCAAACATAACATTTAATAAAAAACCAACAAAATTAAATCCAGAACAACCAAAACAAATATTAATATATTAAACATAACCCTTTTTTCTACTAGATTTAAAATATTTTATTGTTTTGATTAATGACTTAACTGAAAACCAAAAAAAAAAAAACAAAATCCTTAAAAAAGGAAATACCTAAACAAGAAAAAAAATAATAAATACATACATATTTATGTTTTAGCTTAAGTCCACCTTACATTTTTGCAGCCAACAAAATTGGGATTATTTGCATATGTCCTCCCGGCAGATTTGTGTTGTTGCTCTTTTACGTTTTTTCTGCTTTCGCCCAGCAAATGATTTGTAAACATTGCGAAAAGTTTCACAACCCAACGCAAGGAAGTCTTTGATTGATTTTCGGAGGAAAGAATGGGTGGATGAGTGAATAAATCCACCCATCCCTTCCTTGGAATTGGTGATTGCTATCCGTGATGACTGCTATGCAAATAATGCCAAGTTCTTTGTTGGTTGCAAAATATTTATTTATTTTTCTGCCAATAATACCCGTTTGTGTTTCTTTTTACGATAATAAATAATTGTTTGTTAGCACTGGTCTTTCCTCTCCCCACTCAAACAATAATGTGCCCCGCCCCCCAAAATTAATCTGTGTGTTTTGTTATTTTATTTATCCTGTCAAAAGGACATCAGAAATTTTTATATTTTATTTTAAAACGAATTACAAATTGTTAAACAAATACCAACATTTCATAAGAATGAAATGGTTATTAATAAGTTAAGTTTATTGCTAATACATAACAACAACAAAAACAGCTAAAATTATACAGGTCGACAAAACTTAAGCGATCTAGGGTGAATTAGATAATATTATATAACGTTAAGAATGCCATATTCGGGACAATTTTTAGCACTAAATCGTAAATAAATTGCAAATAAGTTCTACCAGAGACTGAAGTAGAGAAAAAAGACATGCATTTTTGTGTAAAGGGTTTAAAACAGTTATGGTCGATTTTTAGCTCCTGAGCGATGTTACGACTGCTAATATGCCGGTCAACTTCGATTATTTCTCCAATTTTATCGACATCAATTTTCAATGTTGGGTTTTAAGTTCTTAATAGTTGAATGTTTCCCTGCGTATATACGATCTTTCTTGTAGTCCCATAAAAAGGCTAATGGTGCAAATCACATGATCTTGGTGTTCAATGTCCCATATAGTTTCCATGTTATTAATAGCAGGCAAACAAAATCGGTTAACATATGACCATAACACTCCGAATAAGCAGTCTTTCCATGGACGCTTAGGTTGGTTTTAGACCACATGTTTCTTTGGAACAAATCCGTTTCATACAATTTGGAGACGATTTATACAAGTCCGTCCGTTTCTCGATGGGAGTAGTCGATTTCATCCAAACTTTGCACATAGTTATGTTTCATACGAAATCAGTTTAAGTTCGAAGATGGGTATTATCGGAACAATCCTTCTGGTACCTCCTACACAAAATGGTAAACATTTTGATGAAAATTAATTTTGTAATATCATACGGACGGACTATTTGATTTGAACCAAACTTTGTACAACCTATTATCTTTACGAAGCCTAGATCAAGTCTGAATATGAGACCCATTAGTCCAATCCTTCTGGTAACCCTCCCAAAACATGGACACAAATTTAGGCGAAGGCAATGTCCGATTTGAACCAAAATTTACACAAGTTATTGTCTATACCCCGCCTAGATCAAGTCCGAGGACGTGACCCATTCGTCCAACCCTTCTGGTACCTGCCCCACAATTGGCAAACATCTTATAAATTTGTAAATTTAATTTGAAGCGAATTTGATCAACATTAAATCCCCAAAAAATGGTTTTACAACATAGTTTGACAGCTATCGAATTCCAGTCACATTCTTTTGAAACCACGAAATGGATAAACCTTTACTTTTTTTTCGCCCAGACATAAAGCTTTGCTCTCTTTGGAGCACTTCCGTTCGAATATATTTGGAGCCGTTTAAGCAATCCATCCCGATATCATCCATTGATTGAGGGCTATTATATACATATCTGGTCTAACTCCGCTCCGTTACATCTTCTGGCGACGAAAATCGGTGATCGTTTTCTTTATGTGCGAATGTAAGTGATTCGGTGTCACATTAGGTCAGTAGTTTGCCCATGTAGAACAGATCCTTTTAGCGAACCAGTTTTTCGAAGTGGTTTTATAAAAGTATATTGAAAGCCAGTGATGGTGTTTAAAAATCTTTACCCCCAAATTCACATTAGATTTTTTCGGCGATTGTGCAATTCTGATGGTTCCTACGATAATTTTTCACGGCCAGAAGTTCGATAGAAATGCCTATATGCCCTCGTATACTAGGCAATTTCAAGGCATGGAGAGGTATAATTGTGGGTTTGTGCCTCATCTCGTCAAATTCTGATCGGGTAACAGATTAGCCAGTCGAAATTTGTACCTTCGTATAATTTTATTTTTGTCGACCTGAATACTTAAAGACAACCAAAATGAATACTAAATAAAATAAGAAATATTTAAATCTATAAAACCCAAAATAATATATACAATAATAAATACATATATACCAAAAACTGTTAACATCTCATACCTTATCGTTATGTATGTATTTACAACTGTATGTTTACATCCCTTACCAATAGAACACTTTTTGTCAAAGTTTTGTTATGCAAAATCTAAGACAAATAAACCATAACAGAAGATAAATGAAAAAAAACAATATAAAAATAAATGAGAGCAAACAACAGAATAAAAACTTGATGTTTGATTTATTTCCTATGTCAAATATGGTGTAAAATTTATACCAACAAAAAATTTACAAAAAAAGCACGCTTAAAAAACTAAAACAAATTTTGCTAATGATGATTACCAGAATTGGATAAGCAAACACAACGATTTGGTAGTGATGTTAATTTGATTATGTTTTATTTCTATTTTATTTTTTGTATTACATTTTATAAGCGACATATCTCTCTCATTTACATTTATAACAAACTCTAAATATTTTATTTTGAATTTCTGATGTCCCCTTCAGGATAACTGAGAATAGATAACAAATCGCAATCATAAGCTTTGTTCCTGTTGTATTATTTTTTATTTTATTTTGCATTTATAATTTAAATTGGATATTTATTTTCCCACCCAACACAAATCCTCATAGTTCATAAATATCAATAAATTTGACACCACCTTTGTTCCATTATATATAAAATCAGATATTACGGTTCGCTTCTTTGTAGCAACAACCCAGCTTATGTTGTTATCATTCATAGAGCGCACAGCCATTAAGCATAATCATTATTTTAACATTGCTACCACATCCATTGTGTGAATGTCTTGAATGAATTTATAATC